CCACAGGGATGTCCTGCAGCAAATATTCCATAAGGCATTGGAATATGCCAGGAGCCACAGAGACTCCAAACTGCAACCATTTACATTTGAACGCACCCCTGTGCGTCACATTGGTTTGGGCCATAGCAGTTGTTTCATCGACAGGCAGCTGTTGATAAGCTTGGGCCATGTCAAGCTTAGCAAAGATGGAGCCCTTTTCCATTGAATGTAGGAGAATTACAGGCACAGGGTATGTGTTACTGCGCGAGGCCTTATTCAATGTGCTCTTATAGTCTGCACATAATCTGATAGAGCCATCATGTTTAATTGGGGTCACTATAGGGGTTTCCCATAGTGCATAATCTACAGGCTGCAGGACCCCTTGGGATGTCAATTTGTCTAGCTCTTTATCCACTTTTGGTTTTAAGGCAAAAGGGACACGTCTGGGCTTCAATCTGATTGGTGTTATTGCTGGGTCTAATGCAAATGAAATTGGGGAGCCCACATATGGACCTAACTCTTCGTTGAAAACAACTTTAAATTCAGTTAACAGTGACTCAATGTCCTGGTTTTGAGTGCAATGTATTCCAGTCACTTTAAGACCCAAAGTGTCAAACCAATCTAACCCTAGCAAACTAGGTAAGATGCCTTCTACAATAGTAAGGGGTAAACGTCCCTTGAACTCTTGGAAATTAATTGCAAACTTGCCTGTTCCTATGACCAGTATGTTCCGTCCTTGATAGTCTTTGAGAGATAGATTGCAAGGTTGAAGTCGCTTCTTGGAGATAGTTGGAATTAGTCTCTTCAGGGTGCTCCAGGAAAGTATGGAAAGGGATGAGCCGGTGTCTATCTCCATTGGGCATTCTTTACCTTCTAATGAGACGGTCACATGAATTTTATTAATGTGTAACTGTTGCGATAAACTGTTTAGAGATTCAGTGGGAGATGCTCTGGTAACAGTGAAACACTCATCTCTCTGTTTCTGGTACCTTGAGGCTGAGGCTGCGCTTGTGACATTTTTTTTCCAGATTTGCAGACCCTAGCTATATGGCCCTTGTGCTGGCAGTTTAAACAAATAGCATTCCTAAATCTGCAGGCAGGTCTTAAATGGTTACTCCCACAAGTTAAACAAATTACCTGAGCAGCAGAAAACTGCTGTGGTTTGTTTCAGCCTCTTTGCTGGGTTCCAGCCTCTTTGCTGTGGAATTTGTTGGCGATTTGTGAGGTGATTAATGTCTTCGCCATAATCTAAAAGCTCATCAGGAGTAAACTCCTCAAAATGTACAGTAGCGTTTGGCTTTGCCACTGGACTGCTAGTCTCACCTTGGATCTCAGCCGCAGAGAGATTGGACATCTCTGCGGCTTGAGCCTCTTCTATGGCCATCTTTAAAGTGAGGTCACCCTTTGCCAACAGACGTTTTTGAAGTCTGAGGTCTCTTACTCCACAAACCAATTGGTCGAGCAGCATGTCATCGAGCTCTTTGAAACCGCATTGCAACGTCGCTGTTTGGAGATCAGCCATATACATATCCCCTTCCGCCCGCCGCCTAAAGGCATGTCACCTAGCGATTCGAGAGGGCTTGGGGGCATAATGGTTACTAAGGATTTCCTGGAGGGCTTCCCAGGAAACCTCTTTGACAGATTGTGGCGCCAATAAAGCGGTGGCAGTGTCGAAACTTAGGAAATAAGCTTTTTTCCTGTGATCCGATATGTCCTCCAAATCAGCAGCATCTAGGAAACACTCGAATCGGTTAATGTAAGAATACCAAGTCTCTGTTGTAGGATGGAAGCATGGGAACGATGGAGGGGAAGACATCTCGTCAGCCGGCTGAGGTAACTTCACAGAGCGCTTCGAATCCTTCAGGAATCTTGTGTGCCTTCACTGCGTCGATCCCATCCTCATCGATAGTTTTGTGAAGGCAAAGACGATACCCACAATCTCAAGAAGTTTAACTCTCTTATTAACGAATAACTGGTTGCTGCTATAGCCGCTAAACTGTGCGGATCAGCTGACGGAAACGAGCAACAGCTGACGCCGTCTGACAGTTCCCTTTTATATTGCTCACTGTCAGGCAGCTCAGCCAATAGGAACAAAATTCAGTTCCCGCTCAACTCTGCCAAAGGTAACAGTTATTTTACAGGTGATCTTTCCTGTGTACATGACAGCCACTGCTTTGTGTAATGTCCTTCCCCCCTTCTTTAAGTCATGCTGTCTGTCTGTCTGTCTAGTCTCTCTCTTCTCCCCTCACTGTGTCGTGGGGATCAATTCTTGTGTGTGTGTGTGTGTGTGTGTGTAGGTTTTATTTGTAAATAAGTATCATATCTTATCATGATCCATCACTGATTCATCTTCAGCATTAAAAAGCCAGAATGGAAATGAATTCAACTAATACAGAGGTTAATATAAAATGATTGGCTCTTTCATGTGGCATTTTCAAGCCTAGTTTTTGCAATGGGTTTATATAAGCAGACATAATTGTCTGCACATGTTCAGTTGCATTTGCTTCAGATTACTTTGCTGTTCTGTCTGGTGACATCAGGCATGGTGCTAACACAAGAGGCATAGGATACATATGCTGTATAATTCAGATGCAGCCAGTTTGGGATTGAAAAATAATTCAAATAGCACAATAGTTCAATCTGAGAATGATTGCTCTTTCTGCTCTTCCATTTACCAACCTGTGTTTCCCCCAATTCCTAATGAGTAGCCCATCCACACATCCATCCTTCCTTTCCTTCTGTTTTGTTTTGGAACACTGATATAAATATTGATGAAATGTTGCAATATATAACCATTAGAGGACATTCACCATATCACAGGATGTTGGGGTGAATAGGGATCAAAGTGAGATGCCCATGAAGCCATATTCTCTCCGATACTTATTTGGGGCTGGTGAGCACTTTTTAAATTCTGAAAACTTTGAAAATACTAAGAAAAGGACTGCCATGAGATTTGCATAGTATAACATGGCTGCCATAGTAGATGTAACTAATTCCAAAATATCATTCATCAGAAGACATATTGATGAGAGCTCCCCATCATCTTCTCTAACTTGCTCATGAAGGTTATCCTCTAGCCTGTCTTTCTCAAGATACATTGCAGTTTACAATGTCTATATTTTGCTGGGCAGATGAGCATCTTTTTTTTTTTTAAAGTACAGGATTGCAATCACTTTTTCTATTCTAAAAATGCCTACTGAGCCCACGTTTCTGAAAATAAAGATGACGCTGAGGGCAGGCTGTCTGTTCTTCTCATTTTTTAATTAATGAAATTGAAATCTCTTCCTCCCCACCTTACCCCTTCCCACTAGGCCACCTGAAGTACTTTTACTCCATCCATCTAACTTCTGGTATCAGAATAAGGCTAGGAGAAAAGTGCCTGCAGGGACAGAGGTATAGGTTGATTTGACAGATTGAAGGCTATGCCAGGCATGTTTACATGTCTGCCTCATCACATAAAGTGAGAGGGGAAATCTAATTTTAACATTATAAAACCTCCTGGTTGAAGAGAGTATCTTCCTCACTTTAGGTATTTTTCTGCAGGCTTAATTTTATCTGCCAAAATAAGCCAACCTGGAATGAAAGTGCTTGGCAAAGAAATAAGTGGCTGTCCTGTTTGTGTAAAACTTCCCCATGAATCTTCAGTGTGTAGAATAGCTATGAGTCAACTATGTTATAATGTTACCTTCAGCAATACCCCACCACCAAAACAAAACCAAACATTCTCATGACTGAATAGTTGTTTGGAAACCTGCACAGGTGAACCTCTAAACTTTAAATATCTGGATTTTTCTGCCTATAATTCTATAGAAATGGGGAAAAAATGAACACGATGAAAGATATGTAATCTTAACAAGCAGTTGTTATGGATTGCCTCACTTAATATTGATGCTTTTGTTTGAAATTGATAAAAGCTCATAAAGAATGCCCATCCTCAGTGATGGGATGTCGTACAGTCCCATTGACAAAAGACTTTGTTTAGCTCAGCAAAGCTTTGAGCATTAAAGTCAACAGAATTCCTGAATTTTCTGGAGTAGATGGGGTAGGAAACCTGTAAATCTATTGCCTCCCTCCTCCTCCCAAAGCTGGCATTTGCATTGGCCAAGGCATGCATGAAAACAAAGAAACAAAGCACATTTTATCCTTCTACTAGTTTCAGGTCACCCCTTGAGTAGAGCTCCCTCTTTGACCTTTAAAATAGGCAGAAAGAAGTCCCAGCATTGTGTGTGGCAGCCTCCTTTTCCAGGCTGCCTTCTTGTCCCAGTTTTCTGTCATCACTATTGAAATGGTGGATGATTGATCTGAGAAATGAAGTTGGATTGCTGTCCCAAATCTACATTCGGTTTTCCTTGTGACTGTCTGATCAATTTCACTCTGTGAGACACAGCTTGTCGCTATGAATTTTCATGCTAGTCACAAGCAGACAGCGCAACTCAAAATGAGTAGAAGATGTCTCCATTCCACTCCAGCTTTCCTTTTATTTCCTTAATTTTTGCATTATAACAATAATTATTGTTATAATTATCAGCCTGCTTATTAATCGGGTAGTCATCTGTTTCGTTCTTTGACAGTGATTGGAATGGGAGAGAGAGCTATCCTATTTTTTGATGGCATGTTCAGCTGAATTGGGCCTCAGCCTTTGGCCATCTTGTTGGAGATGTCTGGGTCCTGCTTTATGGTGATATACCCTACTGCCATTGCACTAGGTGTCACCTGTTTAGCAGCCCCTCTCAGCAGAACGCAAGTGGCCGCAGGTGCCATGTGAATGTTGATTCTGTTTGACAGCTGTAGACGCCAGCTGCATGTACAAGGCCTGCCCACTTGCCACTTTTTTGCAGCTAGAATTCTGCCATTGGCGGGACTGATACAAAAGCAATAAACTAGGTGACCGTAAAGCTAAAATAAGTCCTACTAAGTGGCATTTTGAGCCCTATGGCTTTGAAATAATTGGGAGCAAGAGAACAAAACAAAAAAAGAGGAGTAGAAGAAGAAACAGAGAAAAGGAAGCCTATTTTTCTTACACTGATGCCCTGCGGACTATACATCTGACTTGCTGTGAGCCCGTCACTGTATCCTCCTGTCTGGCTGATAACATGGCGAAGGGTATCCACCTAAACAGACCAACAACAAAGAAAGAATTAGGAACATGTATATTAGAGAAGAAAGATTTCTTTGGAGGTCATTATAATATTGGTTCACAGATTTCCCTATGATCTCTTTAAAGAGTAAAAAAGTGAAGCTGCCTTCCACCCATATCCCCATCTACTGTGTATAGACTACACAGTTTATTATGCTGGATTTTAAAATGATGAAGAAGAAAATATGCAAAAGGAACAGGAAGTTGTTGGAATTTCTTTGGCAGCCTTACCAATTATGAGGAGGGAAGAAACTTTTTCCTAATCTGTTAAAGTCTATTATTTATTCTTCAATCACATACTCCAAGATTTCTCAATGCCGCCTGCAACTGAAGGTATAAGTGAACCTATGTGAGTTCCAATGTTACGTGAGTCCTTCTGCATCTCAGGCTCATCCATTCCTCTTATTTGTTATTGCTGTAGGCACTTTGCACATTCGGTCTAATTGTACAATCTGCACTGATATTAATGACACTGTCAAAAGATGGACATTTCTGGATAGTTGGCAAAATTATTAAGAACCCCAGTGAGATGTGATAGGGAATTCCAAACGAGATGAGGCACAGGTAGAATGAGATTCCAGAAAAAAATGTGAATACTCATGAGGCTATAATGGCAATACCTGTTCTGTTCTAACTACTGCCTCAATAGTAAATCATTTATTTCTGACTTAATTTTTTTTTACCCTCTTGCTTATCAAACTGGTTTATAAGAAAGGATGGTAGGATTTGGTATGATATTGAAATAGGACTAAGGCCCTTCAGCAATGTACCAACATTACCTTATTATTAAGCTGGGCAGAAGATAAAAATATGGAAGACTGAATAATAAACTCAGTGTATAAATATGTGATCTCTTCTCCCAGAAAACCCACTAAGAAAATTGGCACTCTTTTCATTCAAAATATTGGTATTCCTCCTATGAAGCCAGAGCCAAACACATTCACAAAATGTAGGCAAATTCTTCCTTTTTTCCCTTTTGTTTCATTTTGATGGATTTGATGGTTGTTGACTTTAATTTCTCTCTTAGGACAGTAATGGGGGAAGCCAATAGGATCCGAGCCCTTCATTCTGACCCTGATGCATTCACTGGCAGTACATCCGATGGATCCCTACCTGTGACTGCACGTTGGCTCCAACCTGGGCCCCTTGGTAAGAATCCCCATTGAGTGACTGCACGCTCATGAACAAATCTCCAGAGTTTGACATGTTAAAAGAACTGGAAGAACCTGGAAAGGAAAGAGCGAGGCACCTGAATCATAGAAAGGAAGAGAAGCAACCACTTGCCTCTCAGCCAAGAAGAAAGAATGGCATGCAAAGCAACCCCAAACAGAAAACAATATGGTCAGGTTAGTAGCACAGAGAAAAGTGCAAGCAAAAATAATTTTTTTTTAAAAAAAGAGAGGGTATAAGAGCTACAAATTTTGCATTAAAAAGACCTCTCTCTGTCTCTCTTTAATGGTTTTCAGCAGGAGATAGTCTTTCAGATCTTAATGTGTGGGGTAGTTCCAGTTTGGGAGGGGGGGATGACAGGTTTGTTATGGATAACATTCTAATAGCTTAACAAGCATTGATTTTTCTGCAATGATGTCTGAAAGACAGAATCTTGTTATTCTAAAATAACTTCCATAAATGTAAATGTAAATGTATAGCCAATGAGTATAGCATGCCATGCTTAGACGCTGCCATTTTCAGAAGAGGTGCTGGTGACAGCCGATAATGAAGCTGTTATGGCCAGCTTGGCATGAAATGTGGCATGAAAAACAGGCTCAATAGTTGCATTCTGCACTGTCCATCCAGAGATCCCACACATCTACATCCAGAGAGGATCATGTGTCATTTGTTGGGCGGAGGAGAAAATGGGGCATAAGACTTTGGTCATGCTGTCTTTACCCTTTCCAAGTTACGTCAAGTCTTATTTGAAACTAATTACATGCAGATATTAACTTGATCATCAGTTGAGTCTGAAAAGACAATTCTAGGCAGAAAACATTTTCAACTTTCCCCTATATCTCCTCCCCCAAATATGCCTTAAAAGTGGCAAACTAACTGAAGTGCATGAGACAGGCTGGAGGGGTTTATTTTTGAAACTCTCATGCAACTCAGTATGTTAAGTATGAGAAAGCTCAACGTGCAAGGTTTAGTGCTAAACATGACATTAGGCTTGAAGGGAGAGACTTCAGGGCCCAGGTCAGTTCCACTGCATTACTGCAGTGCCAAGCTCTTCCTCATGGAAGATACACAGTCGCTTGGCTCTTTGCTAAACTGCTCAATAGCAATATGCAGTCAGATGCTCTGTGTAGGATCTACTCTGCTTTAGCTCTGCAAAGCCCTTTGTTTAATCTCTAGCTCTCAAAGCAAAGTGAGAAGACACATTTGGAAAAGAGTACGCTAATTATTTCTCTGCTCTGGCTAATCTGTGCAAAATCATTCTTTGCTTCTCAGAGGAGAAATTCTAGAATACAACAATAATCACTAATAGTGAAAAGTTCTTCGAAGTCTCCCATAGCTAAGAGACTCCTGTTGCCTTCGCCAGGTTTTGGAATAGATCCTGAAACTATTACAAAATAATTCAGGAAACAGAAATTGATTTGCAATGGATAATCCAAGAAATCTGCTGGCAATTGCCTTGAATCATTTTCAATTTCTCCTTCCTGCATTGCAATTCTTTTTAGAGTGCAATGATATCAATGCTTTGCCTTATGTGACACTATCTTCTGACATACAGAAGCTTTCCCAACTTTAATTACTTAATTCTCACAGGAATGTCTTGGGAGTAAAAGTACACCGCTCCCTCCAAACAGATGGCCTCAATAATTGATCTAGATTTTCAAGGTCATGTTGCACCATCACAAAGAGCTTGTAGGAACATCCTGTTTTTCAACATCTGTTTAAGTTGCTTGAGCAGAATAACTACTTTCTTCAGCTTGCCTTTTAAAATAAGGCACAAACTTTCATTTCTAATAACAAAAGTATTAATACATGCCATTTATAGTGTGTGTGTGTGTGTGTGTGTGTATCTCTCTCCCTCTCCTTCTCCCTCTCCCCCTCCCTCCCTCTCTTTCATCACAGGCAACACGTCTATCAGGAAGTTCTCTTGTGAAAATCCTGAGCAAAAGAATAGGAACTGCAAAAACACATTTATTTAACTGGCATTGTTTGCTGTGGTGTTTGTGCACGAACATGTTTTTGTTTTTCATGAAATATTCTTCATAACATTTATGCACAGCTCTGCTTGGAAAATAGATTGTGTTGCTTCTGCCATGGATACAAAATAGGTAAACTTGACTATTATGTATATTGTACTAATGCACAGCGTTGAGATCTGTGGTGATGCCTCAGCATTTTTGGCAGTAATATAAAATCATAGAAGGGGGAAACATCGAGTATACAGGTAGTCCTCAATGTATGACCACAACAGAGCCCAAAATTTATGTTGCTATGTGAGAAATTTGTTAAATGAGTTTTGCCCCATTTTACGACTTTTCTTGTCACACTTGCTAGCTGAATCACTGCAGTTAAATTAGTAACATGGTTGTTAAGTGAATCTGGTTTCCCCATTGACTTGCTTGTCACAAGGTTGCAAAAGGTGATCACATGACCCCACAACACTGCAAGTATCATAAGTGTGAGTCAGTTGTCAAGCATTTGAATATATATTACATGACCATGGGGATGCTGCAATGGTCATAAGTCACTTTTTTCAGTGCCATTGTAACTTTGAATGGTCACTAAATGAAGTGTTGTAAGTCGAGGACTACCTGTAGTAATGATTATACAGCAAAGGAAAAAAAGACTTTGATACATTGTAGTGATTAAAGTAAACATAATCATTCTTCCCTCCTGCTGAAAAAGGAAAAAAAGAAAAAGAAAATTTAAGGAAAGAATGTAATTGAATATTGGGTTTGGTGAACAAAAAGGGTTTCCGGGGCACTCCATTGTTACATTAATGCTGCACATCTTATAACCTGCAAAATAATTCTGTGAGCAGCATCATGCAATAGGTTGTTATCAGAGAAGATGATCAATCAATAAAGAAGATTTCAACTCAGGGTCCTTGGTGCTCTCTGAATTTGGTTGTTTTCTTGCAGATGTTTCATTACCCAAACTAGGTAACATCATCAGTGCTAGTCCTGATGATGTTACCTAGTTTGGGTAACGGAACATTTGTAAGAAAACAACCAAACTCAGCACCAAGGACCCTTCAAGATGATCATTAAAAAAAAAAATAACCTGAAAAATCTTCCAGATATATTCTGATCATCTACACAGAAGCACTTTTTGCTATAGTCCAAATGGGTCTGATGTTTCTGCAGAACAAAGTCTAACAAATTTGGTCTGGAAAAATTCACTGTCCATTCTAATTACAAATTTGTCCATTAGCTTTCCCTTTACCGTGTCAGACTTTTAACAGAATACTGAAACTTGGAGGGGAGAAGCAACAGAGACAATACAGGAATTTTAGTATTTGAAGCCAAATATCTCCCCATTGTTGGTAGCACAATAATAAACAATTGATAGAAGCTCTCCTGTAACATGATCATAATCTGTTTCCTGAGTGGATCAGTTTGACTTTCAGCATAATTACTATGTCTAAGAATTTGATGAAAAATTTCCATCTGATCTATTATGCTATCCAATTTCTAGGTTAGATAGCATGTCCCCTCGGAAAGAATTTTATCAATGTATTATTAGTATTTTAGTCCCCAGGTTTTTTTACTTCCCTTAGATTTTTATTGTATTGGAAGTTGTCTTTAACTTGTATACTTCCCAGAGTCATTATTTATTTTTTATTTATTTGATTTGTCAATCACTTACAAGATAATAGGTATAAGTATAAACATGAGTAAGAATACAGGAAATAGATACGAATAAATGAGGAAAATAGGACAGGGACGGTAGGCACAATTGTGCACTTATGCACACTCCTTACAGTTGGATAGCTTATAAATGTATGTGTGAGAGAGATAAAATTTATAAAGGTCCTCAACTCAATTATGTGACTTTGAGTAGCACAAAAAACAAACAATAAACAAAAAAGAACCTCCCTTAAACTATATAACATTAAGCATTGACAATATATAAATATAAAATACAAACAGAACAAAACAACCAAAAGTGATTCTCACTCAACTGTCCCTCGTCGTCATGGCGGCGTCATGTGATGTATCGGGCAGTGGTGGGATTCAATTTTTTTTACAACTGGTTCTGTGGGCGTGGCTTGATGGGCGTGGCTTGGTGGGCATGGCAGGGGAAGGATACTGTAACATCTCCATTCCCACCCCTCTCCAAGGGAAGGATACTATAAAATCTCCATTCTCTCCCCACCCTGCTAACCTGCTTTCCAGTTCCATTCTCCTGTGCAGGGAAACAAAAGAAGACCCGGCTGATCAGGATCTCGGGAGGCAGAGAATAGATGGGAGTGGGGCCAGTCAGAGATGGTATAACGAACTACTATTTCTGCTACCAGTTCTCCAGAACTGGTCAGAACCTGCTGAATACCACCTCTGGTATTGGGACTTTCCCCCCCTTCACTAAACTGGGAGGGGGCAGGGCCAGCACTGCAGGCTGTGAGTTTGTCACCCCTGCCCTAATGCTTTATTTTTAGATAGACAGAAAATTAGAAATGATCCCAGTAGTGGATGTGTTTGTAGCTTTGCTACAGTCTTTTGCGAAGCAAAATAGCAACATAAATTTTAAAAAAGTGAGTTTTAAAACCTACAGAAATTCCCCCCTCTCTTTTGGGAAAAGGAATTAGTATCTGCACAAATTGGCAGGAAGGAGAGAGAACATTCAGAAAATGACATGGCTGAATAGTTTTTTTTTTTTTTAATCATCAGAATAACTGAGAAAATGTCTTAGGCTGTTCCTAAGAGGACACTAGTTGAATTCAATTGGAATTACTTTGGATAGAGCATAGGGTTATTACATGCAGTTCTTCTACCTGCTTGAAATTTTAGAAATCAATACCCTGATTGGGTTAAGGGTAAACCAATAAAATACATTAATAAATAGCACACTTGTATTTAAATAAGGGTTTAATGACTGGAAGGCAGATTGTAAAAGAACATTACAAAAGCTTCTTTACACTAAGAGCAGTTCGATGGTGGAACCAATTACCCAGAGAGATAGTGGATTCTCCTTTACTGAGTGTATTCACTCAGTAACCTGAATGTCTTCAGTGGGATTCTGAACTAAGCAGGAAGTTAAATAGCCCATTCCAGGGAGTTAAGTAGTCCATTCCAATATTTGATTCCATGAAATGTGTTGCTGCTTACTCGTCCTTTATTATTTAGTTTGAAATAAATTCCACACTGCATTTACTTTGCTTCTCTTTTGTTATACCCTCAGACTCTCTCAATATCTGTACAACTAACAGAAGTTACAGGAGTTAAAAACTATGTTGAGTGATGAAAAAAGATATGAATTTTAAGGAGGCAAATCAAGTTCAATTCAGAAAAGGTTAAATATGGGTTTTTGTCTATCTCATTTAAATGATTAAGAAATTAACAGTTTTTAGTTTTCAACTGGTTAAAAAAAAGAGGCTGTCTTAAGTCCACCTGCATTAGGTGAAAGAAACTGTTTGCAAAGAGTGATTGATTTACACTGTGGGAGGGAAGGAGAACAGAGGAGTTCCACAGCAGTAAGATGAGAGTCAAGGCTGGTATTCATCAAAACTGGAGGAAAAAAAGCAAGCTGTAATGGAAATGAGAAAGGGAACAGGTGCAATCAAAAGAACAGGGGGAAAAGAGGAGTTAAAGAAACAATAGAAAGAAGAAGAATCTGGCTGGACCGTTTTAGTTTGGCTAAGTAGGATAGCAGAGGGGAATATGGGCAGTTGGCCAGGAAGATCACATGCCTGGTTTGTTATGTTAAATGCTGTGATTCAAAAGAAAATTGAGGATTCATAACCTCAAAGAAAACCAACAATAGCTTTGCAAAATGAGCAAGCAGGAAATGAAACAACCCCCTCTTCCCCAGCTCTACACAATTCCTGGTCAGTTAAGTATTTATAATACTTAGCATAAGAGCCAATTGTATGCTTAATCACTTGGTTATTAAACTGATCCCTGAAATATAAGGACCATTTTAACTAACACACTACATCAAAATGAACACAAATATAGTCAAGAAACTTTCCTGTGTAATTAATTTCTTGGACAGTTATTAATTTTACATTTATTTTTCTTTGTCCACATTTGTCCTTGCCTTTATTGGCAGTAAGAATACTTGTAAATAGTGTTTTATTAGGAATTGAAGATTTCCTCAAAACTTGTACAAAAAAATCAATCTGAATTTGAGAGGCTACACCCACTGTCAAAATGAAACCTTTTTAGATGTGAATAACTTGACACACACACAAAGACAACTCTTCCTTAAAAAAAAAAATTCATATAAAATATGTCATGTGCATTTTAAAGTTGTTTATAAATGGTGTCCACTACTTCTGAAATGTATGTAAAATTAGCCATTAGGCTCCACAGAAATGTAATGTTTAAATTTTGTAATTATTTTGCTAATATAATATTTGCAAGTAACAGTGCACATTATGTTTTAGGAATATTTCATAATCTATAACTTCACTAAATATTATGCATTTATCTAACCAGTATCCAGCCAATTATATTCAGTCATAGCTCCATAGCTCTAAAAATGACTGCTTAATAATAATGGAAACTCATTCCTTATGTAATATATAGGACTAATACTGACAAATAAGTAATTCCATTTGTAGCAGCAGTTCCTTGAATGTCATTTGTTTAAGGATATCTGTGTTTCAGGATTTTTTTATATCACCAAAGGAAAAAAAAAAGCAGATAATGTTTTTCATCCTTAAAGAACATTTCTTTTTTTATACCTTTTGCTTAATTTTCTGCAGAATTTGTCTGTGATTACCCTCAGCTATATGATAAAATGCTGTTTAAAAAACTAATCACCAAATCTAACTTCTCCCCTTTTGTGTTGTTACTGTTTTTAAGATTCTGACTCTGCCTTTTTTATTCATCTCCTGCCTCTGCTGATAATGCCTCTGATTTTCCTGGATTCTCTTTCTAGCCTGAGGGTGAAACACTGCAGAGCACCTCCATAAAGCATACATTGGCAGCACTTTATTGCCGATTCTCTTGCTAAGCTTCTTTTCCTACATGGCTTAACAAAGTTTAGATTATTTTGATCAAAAGCCATGAACAAATAGTGGTGTTGGTCCAGAACAGATTGAATTAATAATGCATTTTACTTCTTAACTTCTAATTAAGTCAGCATAGTTATAAATAATTACAAGCAGGATAAAATGTAATATACAACTTCTGCTTAAAATAATATGTCATTCATTTTGCATAGCAAAAAAACTCAGGTACCTTTGGATCTACATTGTACACACCTGCTCTATTCACACTTTGCATGTTTCAGTGCAGATAAAAAATCTTATTTGTGTACAGAAAAGCAATAGATGAAGCTGCTCCAAATTTTGTATTCTATGAATTTAGGCAAAAGTCAAAAATATTTCCATTCTTCAGCATGCAAGTGATCTTATCCTTTCTTCAACATGCTTTTTTTAAAATCAAGTCATGAAATGTGATCTTGTGAAATTTTATGATTTTGCCAAGGCAAAAGATAAGCCATTTTTAAAACAATGCTATCCATAAGGCAGAACTAATAAAAACATTCATCTCGAATACAACACCAGTAAATTAGACTTTAATCCACAAATTAGAGGAGGCACTTGTAAGGGAAAACACATTGTTTTTTAAAGTGTTCAATGTGTTCAAAACACATTGTTTTTGAAAGTGTCTAGAAAATTCTTGTAACTTATCTAATATGAAGTTTGTGATTTTTCATTTTTGCCTTATTACAGCAGGTAAGTGCCAGAAATAATGCAGCTGACCATTTGTCAGTTGTCACCAGTGGCCATGCTAGACACAACTCCCTTCTTACATAAGGCAACTGCAAAGTCAAGACTACCAAACAAATGTGAAATACCAACTCACAGAATGTAAATATGTTAGCAGAATTTCTAACTTTATTCCCATATCATTAGTTTTCCAGAGAAAGGGAATCATAGTTAAATGCTCAGAAGGTGGACCCAAAGCTTTCCCCCTCATCAAAAGTGAAGTGTGAACAAGGACTCAATCTGCAGTGGTACTTCTAAATTTCCACTTAGTGATTTGTCATTCAGGAGGAAAGTAGCAGGTCACTGATTTTTATTTGGTATGTGTTTATCGTCTAGCCACACTGACTTAGGGGAAAATGATATTACAGACAGAGTTTCTAGTAGGAAAAAGACACTAAAATTCAAGTTTTGTTCACTTCAGATTTTAAATCATTCACAGCAGTCCCTATGTTATGCTTTCCGACTGTGTGTATGCTGTAATTTTTCATCTTTCAATATACAAAGCCAAAATGTATAGGTCAGTCCTCAGGCCAATGGCTTTGCAAAGTGTCCCAAGAGTATCAAGAACCAGCAAATTATTGCTTATCTGATAGGAAACAAAGTGTTACAAAATAAATAATTCTGGATGATAAACTTCCCCTCTATTTACATATCAAAGTTGGAATCAGGTAATTGCTAATACTTCTGTCCTGACTTCTTTCATTTTATTTAAGATATTGCAATTAATTTATTAATTGAATGACCAACATGAAAATTACACATTGGAAAGGTTGAGAAACTAGAACCAGGAACTGAGGAACTAAGGTAGAGGAGACCCACAGATAATAAAATCAACAAAAAACCTTTAAGGGGCAAAGTCTATACCAATACACATCTAGATGGACTGACTGAAAACATTCTGAGCCATAGCACCACCAAGTATATACTAACATTATGTTTTCTTCACTAATGTGGTTTCCATAGAAGAAACTTGTTTTTCATGCACCCAACCAATAAACATTCTGAGTTACCTTGTCTCTCCACTATTGAAACATATAAAATACACATAGCCAACATTTTTTCTGACACTATCAGAAACTCAGACAAAACGTTACCTAGGCAAAAATCCTCAACACATTGCATTATAAGTATGTAGTGAGACTATATTGCCTTTAGAAAAAAAAGCAGACAGGAACAAAATTGTCTAATCAAACAGGAACTCAAAGTGAAAAACAAGAAACATACATTTATACTAAAAGAAAATAAAACCCCACTGGAAAAAAAAGAACAATAACAACCCAAAAGAAAAAAAAACTAACCAGCTGAATTGGGAGTTGAGGGTGAGTTAGCTTGGCTTCCATGGGCTGACACATTTGTAGCAGTGACAGCCGTTTTGGCAGCATAAATATTGGCTTCCTCTTGAAATTTACCTATGTTCTTCTTGTACCGGATTCGTTTATTTCCAAACCAGTTTGATACCTAGAGTGAATGTGGAAAAAAGACAAAACAAAACAAAACAAAGAGGTACCTATTAATAAGACGACAAAGTTATGACCAGGATGGGAGGCTAAAGGGCATGGGAAAGTGAATGAAAAGGTGGTTACATGATGCTTTTTAATAGTTAAAAACTGTACTGCCTCTGAACTTACAAGACATGGGCATAGCTCACCAAATGTCAAGTTTCAATATATATAAATAAAAACTATTTGGAATCTTTTCTGAAGTGTTAGCTTTTACATGGCATACTAAACTTCTTCTAGTCATAAATCTGGAAACTTCTCAAGAAGCAAGAGAGCTTTCAAGAACAATCTCCTATCCTAAGGCATCATTTTTCCTATAAATCAGCTCCAACATCACAAAAAAACTTGCACATTTTGCTACAGAGAGCAAAAGCAAGCAAGATATATTTTGACTTTAAACCTGCTGTAAAATGCAGCTGTTTAAAAGGCAAAATTGAATATACTTTACATATAGCATCACAGAACATAGAACCAGAGGTTTGGAAGGGATCTTGGGGGTCTTTTAGTCCAATCTCCTACTTGAGCAGAGACCCTATATCACGGGTGTCAAACTCCCCACGTCACATTGCTGTTACGTGACATATTGTGACGTTTTCCCCTTCGTGAAGCTGGGGTGGGTGTGGCCTGCACTGTGTGTGACGCATCTGGCCTATGGGCCACCAGTTTGACCCCCCTGCCCTATACTATTAACAAATGACTGCCCAATCTTTTCTTGAAATTTTGAAAGACAGTTTTTACAGGCAGAAAAGGCAGAAAAAGTGATTTTAATATATATTTTGTAAGAATGAATTACTGAAATGCTAATTTGCAGAGATTCTGTAGCTCAAATATGAAGCATGGCCCCAGGTAGCATAAAACCCTTATTTTCATGGATATGGTCATCAGTTTAAGAGTTTAATTGACAGTACAATTTCATGTGCTGGATGATAGGGGTAGAATTGTTTGTTGTTCCCAACATGAGCTCATATATTACAGAATGTGTTTATCCAAATGATTTTAGGAATGTAAAGAATTAATTAAATGAAAGCTCACAATAATCCAGAAAGAGAATATCTCCTGTTCTACACATTTTTGTTGTTATCATATAAAGCTGAATCTGAAATTCAGTGTGACCATTCTCAAACTGTCACTTTCATGCTGAGTAAGAAGTTGCCTACTTGTAAAAAAAAAATAACCATCCCACAATTAGTACAGATAATGGAGATGTATTTCACAGGTTAAGAAAAGTTCTCTTGATTGAAGCTATGTACCCAATTCAAATTAAGCCCTTCTGTCTAATACTGTCCCCAGTCTGGTAATTACTCCCTAGTTCTCTACCAAAGCTATCCCTCTGGCAATCCAGAGAGGCTTTTCTGGTTGTACCTTTTGCAACCTATGCAAACTGCTGATATTTGTGATGATTTTATAGACATTACACCTGCTGGAACCACTGTAAAAAATGGTCCTAAAAGAAGGCTTTCCTATACCAAGGAAATGTTTGTTGAATGATAATCCTTGTTTTGGCATTTAGTATTCATGTTTGTTAATATTATAGAGACGCATAGTTCTAAGGTTTTCACTCATAATCGTAAGGGATGTTGTATGTAATTACAAAGAGGTAATTTTGTAATTATATTTATAATTACCTCAATGGAAATCAGAAACTTCTGTTTCTTTTTATTCTCTTTACACACACACACACACACACCCTTTCTCTTTCTTTCTTACATTCTCTGTAAAAAATTAATAAAATTATTTAAAAATCATACAGCAATGTTATTAACAATCTTATTTGACTATCATAGTAATTAATTTGGACAAATGGCATGGCATGCTTTCCTCTGGAATCTACCTGGATGACTGAGAATCTTCATCAAACTGTGTATCTTCATTGGCATATTTTCTGTGGAAGTTGAAAGTTCCAGATAAGCCTCCTGCTCATCATCACAAGTATTATGTCACTTCATATCAGTCTATTATTGGATCTGTGGAGAATATGCTTATAAGATGCTACCTAGGAACTTTGAAGGAAGCTGATTTCTAGGGTATATAGTTGTTGATTTGACTTACTATACCAAGATTAGTGCCCTTCCTCCCATTGCCTTTTGTTCGCACAGCATATAGAAAAAGCCCTGGTTGAGACACAATTTTGATGAACTTCTAAGAGTTCTATTGCCGAAACTAGAGGTGTATGAGCTACAGGATGCTATCATGGATGTTTCTATAGAAGTAGAGATTGCTTTTTTATGTTGTCATTGACACATTCTGCAATGCCAAATACAGGACACTGCCATCTTATTGTAGAAAATAGGATGGCCCTAGGTTATTTATTGGTCCCACAAGGGAAAGCATGCAAATTAATGAATTCTTCTTGTTGTGTTTGGATTAATCAATGTATAGAGACTGATATTGCATTAATCTACAGGCACATTCTCTGGAAGAAGTAGTTAAAGACCAAGGAGAGAGCCTAGAATATAGTTTACTATCATGTACATTCTTCCATATGGGCATAAATAAATGTGATTTTATTCATTGAATTTCTCTTCCTCCTAATAAGGATGCACATATGTGTTTATACAATGTGTGGATGTCCTTGCTTTGGAACTTGTGCTGCATGTAAATCTTGCTAAGATATAAAACATTCTCAGATGATCACTATATCACATTATTTCACTCTTTCACAGGAAATACTATAAAGAAACACACTGATAGAGAAAGAAATTAAGCTTCTAAAATTAGACTTAATGCCACAACTACATATGGCTTTTAAATAGGCATAAATGCCAGGTGATATAATTTAATAGCACTGAATGTCACAGACAGAATACTATATACTATACTATATATACTATACTATATCCCAACCAATTTGGTAGGGATAAACATTGGCATGAGTTTTTTAATCACATGTCTGGAGATTTTCAAAAATAGACTGGACAATCATTTGAATGGGATGGTATAAGGTTTCCTGCCTTGAGAAGGAGGTTGGACCAGAAAACCAACTATAAAATGCACAGAAACACTATTTCATAAAGACGATAAAACAGGAAAATAAGAAGAGAAAGAGAATGAGAAAGAAGAAGAGCAAGAAAAAACAAGTATGTAATTCATTTGGAAGAATGTTTGTTTCAACTATTTTCAAATATTGTGAGTACAGAAGTACAGAAATATTTGTCTCTCTATGTTATTATATTTCTTCTATTAATTAGATTAAAGTGACTTTGATACATTCAAATCCTATGATTATAAAGGAATCACCAAATAGTTAAGTCATGACATCACTTGTAAACTGGCTAATCTAAACCCTGGATAGAACCCACATGAGCTGGAACATTGTTTTTTTTTTATGGCAATGAAGCATCTCCTTCATTATATTTTGGTTTTGATATGGGATATCTCTCATTTAAACAGTTTTAGTTATGCACCTAAAATCTCTTTAAAGTTTCCTTTCACAATTTAGGATGAGGCTATTAATTCTTTTATGTTTCACATGGAATTCTACCTACTAGACCTTGTGTTCTCTTTGAATTGTTTGAAATATTATACTTGCGCATAATTTTGGCACAGTTATCTTTTTGTATATTCTCCTGCTATATCTAATAAATTTGTGAATCAAGATTAACCCATTATCTCTTTAATTTCCAAGTTGTTCCTCATGATAATTTCTAAGTATTGTAGTCCTCAACCATTAATTTAATGACCATTCAGAGTTACAATGGCACTGAAAGGAGTGACATATGACCAATTCTTACACGTATAATTGTTGCAGCATCTCCACAGTCACAGGATCAAGTTAAGAGTGCTTAGCAACTGGCATGTATTTATGATGGTTGCAGCGTCCTGGAGTCCTGGGACTGCCATTTGCAACCAGGGAGCTTCTGACAAGCAAAGTCAATGGGGGAAAACCAGATTCGTTTAACAACTGCATGATTCACTTAACAACTGTTGTGATTCATTTAACAAGTATGACAAAAAAGGACCATTGTAAAATGGGCCATAATTCACCTACCAGCTGCCTTGCTTAGCTCAATTGTAGTCATAAGTCAATAACAATCTGTATTATATTATTTATATAACCAGAATCTCATACTTATTTTTGAAACAATCTTTGTTGCCTTTTTTGTCTGATAGGTTTGGGGAAATTATCCACTTAGCTTTCACACAATTACTACACTAGTTTCTATTTATATTAGGACTTCTTGCTGTAATCTGAATGCTAGAAAAATACATAAAATCCACACATTTTCCTATCATAATACATGCCTGCCTATATAATAAATACAGGTTTATGTAGAATACTAGTAAGTAAACTTTCCCCACTTTGCTAAAGCACAGGTCATGAATCTGCTGTGTATACCACAGTGCTGAAAAACCCTCAGGAAGGCAGAATACTACAGAAAAGGCCTTGTCCATTTTCATAATGTTTCAGTTCTTTGCTGAGGCACCAACTCTTGACTCCTTACAATAAAAGTGTAGAGCTACAACTAGTCAAACTAACCAAATTCTGCTGACAGGACCTTAATTTTAATATTATCTTTTATAGTAATAAATATGTCTAGCATAGTAATAAAAGATAATATCACAAATCTTGTTTTCTGTAAGCTTCAAACCATAATGAAGCAGTAATTTAATCAGACCCCGGTTTTCTTGTTGGACTTCTTCCAAAAGATACAACTATATCTCCAAGGAAACTGCTGGAAAACAGTTATTGGGATAATCGGGTGTCATGCAAAGCCTTACCCAAAGCCTTAGCCTACAGCATTATAAGGCACAAATTTACCCTCTGATGGTCATTTGAATGATATTAACAAATCAGAACCAGTCATTTTTGGCAGGATTTAGTTCTGCAGGCTTCCCATTTGTGTCGGCATTAGCAAATTATGTGATATTGGTAAAATATTCTTTGCTTTGTAAATTTGCTCAGTATCTTTCATATCAAAATAAAGGCTTTGTTGCAAGGTTGGCAATAACATTAATTTCACTCAAAAATGATGAACCATTCTTCACAGCCACTAGGAATGGTGGGGCAAATAGAAACTCTCACTGGAATGTAAATAAGAGCTGAGCTGGCTAGAGTTCTGCATCCTACAGATGTCCAGCTAGTCCATCAAACTGATTTTAATAAGCATGAAAATTTGGAAAGTCTGTGCAAGCTCAGAAATAAATGTTATACACTGAACAGTAACTGGAGATACTGCGTATTGTTTGGCATAATAGAAATTATTTTGAAAATCCAGCCTTGCTCTCAATACATAGCTGCTATGTGGCCTTAATAGCAATTGAAATACACTGTTTTTCAGACTTCCTACCATCAACAGAGAAGTTTGCCTTGAACACTGCTGGCAAATTTTATTGGATAAATTTTCAATTCACATGCATCGGATTAATCTAATGTTTCCTATGCAGAAAGAATACTATCCAAGGACACTCAATCACTTCCTCTCCTGTATGTTGAAGGTGAAAATACTTAGTAGTTGCAAACAAATCTTTCAAGGAATCACAGAATCATAGGGCTGGAAGGGACCTCAGAGATCTTCTAGTCCAATCCCCTGCCCATGGCAAGAGACCTTCTATCATCCCAGGCAATCTCTTCAGTAATAGAGCCCCCTGAACTCTGTAAGGAAAACTGTTCCATTGGTTAATCGTTCCGTCAGGAAATTCCTCCTAAGTTTCAGGTAGGATATCTCTTTAATGAGCTTCCACCCATTGCTTCCTATCCTGCCCTCTTTATTACAGAATAAGTCAATGCCCCTCTCGCTGTATGATTTTTCCGGCAGTCTCCATATCATTTTAGTTGCTCTACTTTGCATTCTGGTTTGTCTATCATCACTCTCTTTAGGAATACCAGCTAAGCTTCCAATAAATCAAAGGATTGCACAGAATGCAGTTGGAAAATAATGGCCCTGATGTAAACATTATAATCTCAGTTTCTACTTTGATCTTATATAATCTATGCATGAAAATAATACATTTACATAGTTACTACATGAACTGATTATTATTATTTTTTACAAATGAATGAAAACAGTCATGTAAAATTCTATTTATTTCCAAATAAAATCCAACTTCTAAAAACATCTAGTTTCACTTTTTAAGCAAACTACCTATTTTTGTCCCTGTCCACTGTTTTCCTAAGTACTTTGCCCAGCATTCATTATGGAATTTATGCAAACACTTTCTTTGCAGCCTTTTCTGCCTTAATGGATGGAAAGGTAGATGGATGGATGGGTGATGGCCACCCTATAGATGAGCATCCAGGTTTCTTACCTGTGAGACTGTGATGCCACATTTCTTGGCTAGTTCCTCTTTGGCTTCCTCACTGGGATACGGGTTGCTGAGATGAGAATAGAAATACTCATTGAGAATTTCCGTAGCCTGCTTGTTGAAATTTCTTCTCTTCCGCCTGGTCACAAAACATGAAGGATAATCAGTATCAGTGATTCTACAGCATTATTTTTAAAAGGTAAGTTCAGAGCCATGAGATTCCTTCTTGGATCCTACAAACAAACTGATGCTCAGATATGTCATCTTTTTTTCTGGTTTTCACTTTCTGGGACAAACTCTAACATACTTGGTATCTTCTTGCTACTTATACCACAAACCTCATTAGCCGTCTTCTGATATTTTTTGTCTTGTAAAGCACTTTTCATTTGTCCTTTCCGAGACTAAAGATGATACCAATTGATAAAGTATAATTTACTCTTCAACTATCTAATTCTGCTCCTTGCATAGAACAGAGTTAAAATATGGTTTATAAAGTTGTGCCCACCCTGTTATATTTTTCCTCAGTTAATTTGTTTGACTTATTATTTAATGAAAAACTATGGTTGAATTAAGACAAAATCAATTTCTTAAAGAATAAAAACATTAATTTTGGGCTGAATCAGTTCATTTGGCCATCTCCCTTCCCCATGCATCCACTCCCTCCTTTGCCATCTTGTGTTTATTATTTTATCTGCTGTGTTATTTTATAATTGATGATTTTAAAATTTTTAATGTTTATATGTTGTAAGTTGCCCAGAGTTGTTGGAAACGAGATGGGTGGCAAATAAATTTCTAAATAAATTTCCAAACAAAGAAACAAACAAATAATTCTGTAAACTTTCCTAATATTGTCGGTTAGCAAAGTTGCAGTTGTTTGCACTTAGCTTTAAAGGATCTGGCAAATTAAATTATTAATGTACTTTTAATCTTGTATTCCTGGGGAATTAATTCTATCATTCACCTACTGCATCTCTTATAGCAGAAACTATGTAGCAATAGTTTCCTTTTAGTAAAAGTTAATAATCCTCGTTTTATGGCTGCAATGGAACTCGGAATTTCTGTTATAAATCATGAGGGTTATAACTTACGGCATCCACATGACCAGACCCAATTTTACAAGTTTTTTGCATGGAGGTTATTAACTAAACACTACAGTCATTAAATGTGGTAGTCATTAAGCGAATCAATGTATTTTTTATGTGCTTTTTTGCCAGAAACTGACCCAAAAGACAAAAAAATGGTAAAAATGTCATAAGTCACAGCTACATGACTGCGAACTATTGCAATCAGCCATAAAGGCAAGCCAGTTGCCAAGTGCCTAAAGTGCAGGGGTGTGTGCAACCCAGAAGTGGTATTCAACTGGTTCACACCTATTCAGGAGAACTGGTAGCAGTGATTTGACGTGGGTCGCAGAACTGGTGGCGACCCCTGGCTGGCCATGCCCCCAAACCGGGTCGCCTGGTCGCCCACTTGTCCTGGTCACTCTCCTAGCTTTCCCTACCACGTGGTGGCCATGACGTAGCTCAGGCGGATGTCCCAGGGCTGCTGCATATGCACACTGCGTGTGCAGCTGCTACACATGCAGTACGCATGTGCAACAGCCCCGGGACATCCGCCTGCCTGCCAGCCCTCCTGGAGCACGTTTACTTCCTTCTCCCGGCTGACGCACCTCTTCCAGCCCAGCCCGGCCTGGCCAGCCAGCAGGTGGGTGGGCAGATGTCTCGGGGCTTCTTGCCGCCTTTGTCCTGATATGCCTGCAGCAGCCCCTTGGGCCAGCTGAGCCGGGAGCCGCCGTTCCCAGGCTTCTACTCTCCTGTGCTTGGTCGACACCTCTTCACCTTGCCTGAAGCGACTGGTCCTCCTGCCCCTCACCCTCCCCTCCCTTGCCTGGCCTGAGAAGGTAAGGGTGACGGCAGGGGATAGAGAAGCGGCTGGGTCCCTATCTCCCCCCCTCCCCCACTCTGTGTGTGTGTGTGTGTGTGTGTGTGTGTGTGCCTCTCCCTCAAAGCCACAGCTGGGTTTTCCTTGGTATTCTTTGCTACTTTCATTTCTTCTTTTTGGAATCCAGACTGGCTGGAAGCGTCTCTTTGGGCGACCTGTCTTCCCCTCCCCCTCCTCTCACAACCGGCAGCCGTGGCGGGGCAGAGAGGATGGCGTGCACACCCGAGGAGAAGGAGGAGGAGAAGGGTCATCGGTAGGGACGCTTCCAGTGCAGCTGGCGATCCTTGTTCAGCCAGTCTTGATTCCAATAAGAAGAAATGAAAGTAGCGAAGAGTGCTTGGCCAGCCATGGCTTTGAGAGAGAGGGCGGGGAGGGAGGGAGAGGGAAAGAGAGAAAAAGAGGGAATGAGAGAGGAAGAGAGAAGGACAAGAAAGAAAAGAAAGAGAAAAGAGAAAGAAAGAAAAAAGAGGTCCGGGGTGTGTGTTTGGGCAAAGTGCTGCTGCAGCCGCTTAGACGAGGCCCCCAGAGCCGGCAGGAGGTAGCGACGGCCTTACTGTGCAGGAACTTCCCTTTCTTTCTCAGCTTTTAGATTCCTATTTGCAATGCAATGGGCAGCAAAGCTAGGTTCGTCCCCTGATCTAGTAGCTAGAAAAGGGGGTGGGAAGAAACTCCCATTGCCAAGGTACACATGGGTCGGAGGGGGTGAAGAAATTCAAACTTCAACCTCCTGGTGCGGCAAGGGGCTTTGGGCAAAGGCTGGAGGGAAAGCCTTGGCTTGCTCACACTTTCTCCCTCCCCAGTGGGGGGGGGGAAATGGACAGGAGCCTGGGGAGGAAGCCATTCTCTCCCCCCCCCCCAATAGCTGGACAAAGCTATGCAAAAAGCCAGCCCTCACCGGCACCCAGCTTCACCAACAGCAGGCTTGCAAAAGGCAATGTGGTTCTTCCTGCAATCAAGATAGACTGGGGAGGTGGAGCACTGAGGAGACCACAGGAGGGAATCCAGGCAAAGGGGCAATGGGGGGGCATCCGCAGCAAACTGCACTTTCCTTCACCCCCTTCTTTTGGAGGGCTCCCCTTCTCCGCCTCTCCTCTCACCCCATTAGCCAGCCTGCCAGCAGGAGGTGAGTGGGTGGGCTTTATTGTGTTCCAGGAATTTCCCACCCGAATGGCACACTGCATTTGCAATTCCTCCCGTGGGGAAGGCAGCGGGGGGGGGGGGAATTGGGTGGGGTAGCAGAGGAGCTGTTTTCAAGCCATTGGCTTTTGCGGGGCGGAGAGTCTCCCTTTAGTTATGCAGGCAGAGGCACCGCTTCCCATTTTGGTAGCTTCCCGTAGGGAAAATAATTTTTTTTTAAAAAAACCCTGTGGCTTGAGCCGGACTGCCGGGCTAAACAGCAGAACTTCTGTGCCCTGAATGGACCTGCCCACGCCACCCATAAGTGTGTATCTGCCGGCAGCAGATGGTTTGTACAAAATGAGAGGCTTTGCCTACCCTGGCCAGTAGAGCCGCATCTCTCATTAGTGCTGAGAGGCTGAGGAGAAGGCATTGCGTGCCTGCCAAAAAGCCTTTCGGACAGCCTCACCTGTAGCAGAGATGAGAATGGCAACTGTCTCTAGCCCCCAATTCTCCTTAAGCATTGCCAAATGAGGAGCAGCACTGGCAGACTTTCTAAGCCTAAACCAGAGAGGGAGGGAGAGAGATATGGTGTGTGTGTGTGTGTGGGGGGGGAGAGATGTGGCTTCTTGGGGGTGCATTTTGGAGAAGCAGAAGTATCAAGAGAAATGCTAAAAGGGGAATCAGTTTGGGATTAAATTCCAAACGAAATTGGGTCTTCAGGGTAAGGAGACATAAAGAACTTTCAGCTGCAGGTTTCTAAAAATCTTATTAACCCATTAGACCAGAGGGAGCAAAAGAGAGAGGGTCTTAGCTATTTAACTTAGGAATAATGGAATAACAGAGTTGAAAGGGACTTTGGAGGTCTTCTAGTCCAACTCTCTGCTCAGGCAGGAAAACTGAGGATGCCAAGTCTGAGTGGAGGGCCAAGCAAAGGTGTCAGAATAATCCTTGGAGGGGACCCTATACCAGGGGTCTCCAACCTGAGCAACTTTAAGACTTCTGGACTTCTGGAATTCCTCCCAGAATTTTGGGAGTTGAAGTCCACAAGTCTTAAAGTTGCCAAGGTTGCCTGACAGAGAAATAGCTGTCCAGTTTCTTCTTGAAAACCTCCAGTGTTGGAGAATCCAGAACTTCTGGAGACAAGCAGTTCCACTGGTTAATGGTTCTCACTGTCGGAAATTTCTCCTTAGTTTTAGGTTGCTTCTTCTTTGTTCAGTTTCGATCCATTGCTTCTAGTTTTGCCTTCTGGTGCTTTGGAAAATACATTGCCCCCCCTTCTTTGTGGCAACCCCTCAAAACCCTGTTTTGTGACCTGCCTATCACACCCTTGGGCAAAACATGCGAGCCATTTCCTCCTTTCAGTGGTCCATAAAAGTACATCTATAATATGTGGATGGAGATAATAAAGTCGAAAAAAGGTGAATTTTTTACAGAACTATAGATATATTGAGGCCGGGGGTAACAAGGAGTGGCTGGGAGGGGAGGGACTGGGCAAAACGCCCCTTGACATGAGTGATGTCGAATTGGCCACGCCCACCCAATCGCATGACCACCAAGCCACACCCACCAAATAAGCCACGCCCACAGAACCGGTAGTAAAAAAAATTGAATCCCACCACTGGTGCAACCATCGAACTCTGGAACCTGGTCATAAGTAGATTTGGAAGTCTATCATAACTTCAAACACTTGCTAAGTGGCCAGTTTTAGGTTGAGGACTGTCTGTAATATGTTCACTGAAAAATGGCAAAGTAAAGATTTTCTCAGCAGTTCTACTCTGAAAAGAACCAGGTAAAGCTCAAATGTTTCCGATCTGTTTCTGTTGGAGGCACTGTTTAAGTCAGGGGTCACCAACCTTTTGGACCTTCTCTCTCTCTGTATCTCTCTCTCATCTTTGCCAGGAAATCCCTCTGAAGACAAAGCCTGGTCAGGTCGTCCACAGGGTCTCCTGCTTGGGCAGGGGGTTGGACTAGATGACCTACAAGGTCCCTTCCAACTCTGTTAATCTGAATCATCTCTCTCTCTCTCTCTCTCTCTCTCATCTCTCTCTTTCTCTCTCTCTCATCTCACGGGACAGCCAGTGTCTTGGGGCACGTCTCCTAGTTGCGCAGCACCAACCAGGGCCAGAAGAAACGTTCACGAGACCCACAGCAAGAGATGAAGCTTTGCTCCTGCTCTGGAATATGAAGCGAATCTCCATCCCCCCGCCCTTCCCTTCTCAGGCCAGACGAGGAGTGACTGGGAGGGAAGGGCGAAGGGCGAGGCTAGCCAGTGGTGGGTTCAGCTGACAGGAAGCCACAGCAGGGGAAGAAAGAGCTGCCGGTTGCTGCCACCTGTTGCTTTGGCATGCCTATGTCACCGCCACCCTGCCTTCTTGCCGCAGCAGCACCATTATCTCGTTCCAGCCGGCGAGGGCTGCACTACTCCTTGCATGTTGCACCACCTGCAAAGTTGCAAGTTGCACATACCTCCCTCTACAGCGGATATTTCCAGCCCACCACGAGCTGCCTGGCTGGTCCCATATTCCAGAGCTCTAGTCACAGGACTGGCCCATTGGTCATCCCAGAGCACCTCCTCCACCCCAGTGCGCTGCAGACCACCAAAATTTTCTGGTTGGTGACCTCTGGTTTAAGCTGCTTCCAGAGTGAAAGGATTAGCCAGTGACATTACTATTGCCCAGGGTATTCCGGAGGTGGGGTGGGGGCTTCTTTCATGTCCCCATGAAGGAACCGGAGTGAATGAGCTCACCCCGCCATGCAGCAGTATTCGGAGCTCGAACGCGGACTAGCTAATCTCCAACCCAGCATCCTAACTACATGAGCCATCATGCTCCTTAGCTCATACATTGAAGAAAAGGATGGTGAATCTTTGTTCTATAGGATCTATTTGTTCTATAGGCAGTTAAAAATCTTCATAGTTCATAGGGTATTTGGAAACTATAATATGATGTGTAATAAATTGAAATTTTTTGATGCTAATCTACTAAAGTACTAATCAAAATTATTGTTATTGTTGTAAATTAAATAAATAATTTTAAAATTAAAAGTGTCTAGCTAGCCCAAGCAAGTATCTACTAGCTCACTCCCCCTTCCCATTAATTATTTTGACACTAACATCCTGTCTAGGGAGACAATCAGTTCTCTAACTTGGAAATGATTCCTAATTGTCATAGACAAATAGGCAAGTATACGTGTCTGGTCTATAGCTCACCGTGCATCAAGAAATCGAGAGCGCAAGATCATGACAGCTTCACATGTGCTCTGTTTGAGTTGCATCTGGATGGAGCTGAACTTGCGGTGGATGATGCTGACCATCCTCTCTATCTCTTTGGGAGAGATAGGCCGAGTCCTGCTCTGTTCCCGCAGCAGATTCATCACGTGGGTTGTGAACTCATTACATGCCTGAGACACAGGAGAAAGAACATGAAGAACCCTTGGGAACTAAGAAATCATGATAAGGTGGCATGTTGCAGCTCTAAGGATGCATGACATACTTCTTTGCTCCCTCAAAGCTTTCTACTGTTCTGCCCTATAGTCTTAAACAATTATTAACATTGTACAGTATTAAAGATGGGGCAAGGTAAAGTGAAAGTGGAATGAGGGAAGAAAACAGATATAAATATTTGACAAACTGCATACATGAATGTATATTAAACACACATTCTGATTTATAATAAGCTTCCATGGGATCTTTAAGAAAAAAAAACATGCATACAGTGTGCTCTGATATATAATTTAGGCTGGTATTTTTCTCTTAAACCTCAGTTTTAAGACCCTCTTGATTATTGTGCAGCCAAGGATGCAACTGAGTGCATAACAAACATTAAACAGATCAATTGCAAAACATCTGTAAAGTTCAATTTATACAAAGCACTTCCACAAGTTTTAAATTGCATATCATCTTACTTCATAGGCTCTTTTAAGTGATCTGTTGCTAAAATTTTGCTGTCAAATTTCAGTGGGAGTAAGGAGAAGCTTTTGGATGCATATCAAAGTCTCAGGGACTGCATATAGACTAGGTCTGTTTACCCAAGCCCTGTATAAGGTTTCAAATATTGGGCGATACAAATATAAATCAGATTTGCATATCTATTTGATGTGTGGCTGGAGCCTAAGCTAAACAGATTTGGGCTTTGTTTGTGTCTAGATGAAACACCACTTGGAAACCTCCTTTAGGCCTCATGAATTCCACGACAGAAGAAAGCGATGGGGACATGTGCATCTGAAATTATTTTATTTTCACACATTCTCTCTCACACACATGCATTTCTTCCAGATATATGATGGAAGAAAAAACAAGGCCCCAACATTGTCCTAGAATCCTAATTTTAGAATAACAAAATAGAGTCGCGAAAGAACCCAGAATCTACATTTGGGGCAAAATTTAGGTATCTGAAAATTTATAAAATTTATAGGCTCCACATTGTTGAATTGTTGAATTCAGTAATATTTTAAAAAACTTTTTATTAGAGAAACATCTTTTGGTACTTTAAACCAAACTTTCAACAACAGAGTGTAAATTTCTCATATTTGACTACAGAAGTTGTCAATAAGAAGGAAAGGTTCTGATTCTGTTTGGGGAATGCATTTCTGTTAGAACAGAAGGGAAAGGAAGTGGGAAAATCTAGCCGGTATCTGAAGGTCAGAAGTGATAATAAAGAACAACATACTGGATAATAGAAAAATAACTGTAGTATCGAGTTATTAAGGAGCAGAGTTACAACTCCCAGATCCCTTGAGTTTATTTAATAAAATACCTTTATATGATTGTTTGTCAAATGCTGTAACAATTAGTTAAATGCAGTACTATATTGCTTTTTTAAAAAAATCTTAATTATTTTTACATTCAATTGAAAAGCTTTTTTTAAAAAAGTACAGATATTTTAAAAGTATGTTCCTAAAGAATAAGTGTTCATTGTATTTTTCAAAGCATATAGTAATGTGTTATTCACATTTAAACCATTTTTTCTCTTTTTCTTTTCAAGAAGCATCTGACCTAAGACAGGATCATAGCAACTCTGACTTCACAGCTGAAACACATTAACTGAACCACAAATACTTCATGTCCAATTTAAATGTTCAGCAGTTTCCAAATGGCACTGCTTTTTCTGAACGGCACCCTTTGAAATGGGGGAAGAAGTGGAGGCTTGCCTGTTGGATGTTTCCCAGGAACACAATGTCTTATATGTTAAACAATTAGCATCTCAGCAGATGGGTTTAGCTTCCATGACTTTACTTGTATATTATTTTTCTACATGCAGTAAAATAGTACGTGGCCATTTCATATATTCACTCCTCAACTGAAGCATCAGAGGCAATGAAAACACTTGTCAAGTCCTTTGGTCAAAAAATGCACCTTTCATCCCTGAGCCAAGAGAGAACAGAGGATTGTGCTATAGATAAGGCCAAAGTAACACTATGTCTTGGCCCGTGTAACAGAGGAAGAAATGTCACTGGTACCTGTTCATACTTCTCCAGCTCTGTGTGATAGATCTGCCGAATCTGTGAGAGTTTTGCTCTGTAGTCAGAATGTTCAACGGAATTGTCTGAGCCAGCACCCCCTGAGGCTGCCGCTGCTGCTGCCGCTGCCGCTGAACCCCCTCCTTTTTCAGGACCAGCTACCCCTTCTGCTAAGAGCATGTTGTCCAGCCGCATTAGCTGTGGGTCTGTGGGTTCCTCCTCCTGAGCTCCTCGAATGCTCAACACTGTGAAGGAAAAGGCACTGATTAAGTCACAGAGCAATGACAACACTTCCCTAGGTCTCACCTCTGGCTCTGTGTTTGCAGACGAGCTGCCTTTTCAGGAGTGTTTTACAAATAAAGCAAGATACTTGTATACAGGTACTCCTCATCTTAAAACCATTCATTTAGTGACCATTCCAAGTTATAACAGGGCTGAAAAAAAAGTGGCATGACCAGGCCGCACACTTACAACTGTTGCAATGTCCCCATAGTCACATGATCAAAATTTGGCAACTGGCATGGATTTATTTATTTATTCGATTTCTAGAGCCTCCAAACTTAGCCAAGTGATTCTTGGGAGGCTTACAATTCTAAAATTATAAATCAATGGAAACATTAAAAAAAATAAAAACATCCACAAAATAAGTATAAACAGCAGCTGTGATGATTAATCAATTAATAGTAAAGCCAAATAATGGGGCCCTTCTGAGTACCTGGGTTCCTAGCAAAGTTTTTAAAGCTTTGCAAGAGGCCAACGGGATTGGGGACATTTTAATCTCCAAGAGGAGAACATTTCATAAGGCAGGGGCTACAGCTTCTCCTAGTTCCTGCCAGCTGACACTCTGGGTGATAGGATTTGCAGCATGCCCAATCTACTGGATTGAATTGGATGAGTAGAAACTCTTGGGAATAGACAGTTCCTCAGCTAACCCTAACCCAAGCAATATAGGGCTTTAAAGGTGACAATGAGAACCTTGAATTGCACCCAGAAACATACAGGCAACTGGCTCATGGAGTAATGGTGTTACATGTGCTGGGTAGGCAGCGTCATTTATTACTTGGGCAACCACATTTTGCACCAGTTGAAGTTTCCAAATATTTTTCAAGGGCAGCCCTATGTAGAGTGTGTTACAATAATCTAAGTGGGAGGTTACAAGGGCATGGATGACAATGAGCAGGGTGTTCTGGTCCAGGAATGGGCGCAATGGGATGAGGATGGTTTTAGCATTCTGAGATCTCGTGATGGCTTTTTACAACTTTCCCAGCTGGCTCCCAGCAAGCAAAATCATGGGGGGAAGTCAGACTCACTTAATGACCACATGCTTCATTTAACAACTGCAATGTTTCACTTAAAGACCATAGCATAAAATCATAAGGTCATAAAATCAGGCACAATTCACTGAACAACTGCCTTGCTTAGCAACGGAAGGGCCAGTCCCAATTGAGGTTGTAAATCAAGGACTACCTGTATATAAAAAGAACTCCAGAAAGGCTAGGTCAGTCCCCTAGCTGGAAATATATTTGCATTGCTTTATCGTATGATTTTCTTTCTTACAGTGTCTGCTAATGAAAGCTGTGTGTCATGCCAATCAACTGCCTTCACAATTCATGAGCTTCTCAATGTTGTGCAATGCATTAAAGTTAAGATTGCAATCAAATATTAAACTTTTAGAGACTTTTAGGGACAGAATGGAATGTTTATTTATTTTGTATTGTTTTAATTTAATTAATTAATTTATTTTGTATTATATATTGCCTAGAATCTCCTGATGAGCTGGGTGGCTATAGAAATCAAGTAAATAAAACAGCTTTAAAATACGTGTGTACATGTTTTTTTAAATAATAATCGCTTTAAAAATGAAATCTTTCAAACAACTTCAATTTCTGGTGGCTTCCTATGGAAGTGGTTTACATTGCCATTGCCTTCTTCTAGGATGATTCCCAGTGCAGATTATAGCCCTGATATTCCTGGAGATCTCCCATCCAAGCAGTAACAAGGCCTGGTCCTTGTTAGCTTAGATCAAATGAGTGAGATGCTACTGCCACAAATTGTAAGAGCATAAGCAGTGCTTGCTGGATTGGACTTGTGGCCCATCTAGTTCAGCAGTCTGTTCTCACAATGGACAACCAATTGCACAAGAAAGCTTACTGGTTTCTGAGCAGGTGGCCTTTAGAGGCAGTCAAACTACCATCAAGCCTAATAGCTGTTGATCACCATGACTTCCAATAGTATTAGTAGAGTTCTTTTTTTGACGACAGCAAAATTTGGTAGCAAATTCCAAGTTTTATTCTTCTATTTTAGCCAATCTGAGGAGGTTCCTTTGCAAGCAATAGTTCCCATGCAATTGCATTGCTCAAAGGATACAACACCCATGAAGATGGTAAAAGTGTCAAATTTTACTGATACTGATCCTACTTATCCTTCTTGGTTATAAGAATAAATATTATTCCTGATGGGGGGGCATCAGGATAATTCAAAGGAGCAACAACAAGTATAACCATTTATTTTCCAAAGACAATAATTGTCTAGAGCTCTAACAAAGGAGATGAGGATACCTCCACTTAGGATTTGCAAACACAACTTTATGTCCAAAAAAGTTACTGGAACTTGAATCCTGACAAATAGGTTGATGAATGTAAACTAAAACAATTTTAAAGGTGAAGGTTCCCCTCGCACATATGTGCTAGTTGTTTCTGGCTCTAGGGGATGATGCTCATATATACATGTATGGTATTCAGCTTTGTTCGGGTATTTTCCCACGTCATTATAGTTGTGCCGAACAAAGCTGAATACCATACATGAAAGTACCCGCGAAAACTTAAGAAAACATATATTTCTCCAACAATACAGCCTCCACCAATAGGAAGGCCCAGCATGATTTCTAGGCATGAGGTGAAATTAAGCCCCGCCCCCAAAATTTAGGCCTATTCAAACCATGCTTTTCCCCGCCATTTCTCACATCATTTGTTAGAACTACACAAGGTGAAGAGAAATGGGTGGGGGAAGGGCGGGGGGGATGTGGAGTAAACTTGCCTTTAGGAGTGCCCTGCAGGTAGTCTAGGCTAGAATACCCCGATAGCAGCTCCCTGAAGGCAGAGTCCCCAGCCGCTTCAGGGCCTGGTGTGGCTACCTGTGTCCCCTCGCCTTTAGGGCAGTCTCTTTCGGGCAATGGAAGCTCCCCAAATGCAGTCACCAGCTACTTCAATCGGCTGGTAGAAGCGGCCTTGCAGCGAGGAGAGTGTGTGTGTGCCACGCCTCGCCCCGAAGCGGCTGGGGACTCTGCATTCAAGGGAGCTTTGATCGGCCGGTAGAAGCGGCCTCGTGGCGAGCGCACACACACACACTCCCCTCGCCACGAGGCCGCTTCTACCGGCTGATCAAAGCTCCCTTGAATGCAGAGTCCCCAGCTGCTTCGGGGCGAGGCGGGGCTGCCCGTGTCCCCTCGCCTTTAGGCAGTCTTTTTTGGGTGATGAAAGCTCCCCAAATGCAGTCACCAGCCACTTTGATCGGCCGGTAGAAGCGGCCTTGGGGCGAGCGCACACACACACACACACTCTCCTCGCCGCGAGGCCGCTTCTTTCGGCAGATGAAAGCTCCCTTGAAGGCAGAGTCCGCAGCCGCTTCGGGGCAAGGCGTGGCACATACACACTCCCCTCGCTGCGAGGCCGCTTCTACTGGCCAAAGTGTATTCACAAACAAAAAAATCTCCACACCACAAGCCAGGCAAACACCTGGGCACAAACAGACTCCCCCTGATACCTCCGGCTCAAAGACACCCCAACCAGGCACCCAGATGAAACCTAGCTTCCTAACAAATGATAGCCATCCATTTACTCAGAGCCAAGCAGCACTAAAAGCCTCCAATACACAATGTTGCCACATTAAAATTTAATTTAAATAAATAATTAAATAATTATTATATAAATAAATTATATATTATATAAATAAATAATTATATAAATAAATAATTTATTATATAAATAAATAATTATTAAATTAAATAATTATTTATTTAAATAAATAAATAATTTAAAGCACTAAAAGCCTCCAATACACAATGTTGCCAGCCAATCAAGACACAAAAAAAGCCACAAAACAGACAGAAGTTATTAGAAACACCAATCAAGCAGAACACAGCAAATTCCAAGACCAATAAACACAGACCAAGACTCCCAACCAATCAGGATGAAGAAAAAACCATTCTGGCACAGCAATAGGCTAGCTCCAAATTTAAACTGATACAACTGTAAAAGTCTGACTCACAGATGAACACAATACAGAAGCCTGATGATGGCAGATGAGATTCTGCCGAAACGTTGCTACAACTTTAAAAGCACAACTACAATGACGTGGGAAAATACCCAAGCAAAGCTGAATACCATACATACATGTATGTATGTATGTATGTATGTATGTATGTATGTATGTATGTAGGTCTAGTTGTGTTTGTGTTTGGGTCTTTTCCCGTGTAAGATTAAGAGTATCTTGGCGATGTTTCAGCGAGGTCCCACTTGCCATCCTCAGGCAGGTGCTTTCGGCTTCGTGCCAGTGCAAGCAGAGCCCAAACTCGAAGCCAGACTAAAACCCAGAATGTTACATCACAGCCACCCACTCAGGACATCACATCAGAAAACTCAGGAAATCACACCACAAGAACTCAAGAAGTTGCAACTCAGCAAATGACCCAGGATATCACAGCACAAGACCAAGGATACCATAGCAACAAATCTCACAAGGTCATCACACAACCCATTACCCAAGCCATTACTACACAGCAGGCTAATGGAAAAGAGATCAAAACACAAACGACCCAGGAGATTACAACGAAGGACCCAGGATACCACAACAAAAGAACTCGCAAGCCCATCACACAACTCATTACCCAAGCCATTAAAACACAAGAGGCTAATGGAAAAAAGATCACTACAAAACAAACGACCCAGGAGATTACAGCACAAGATCCAGGATATCTCCACAACAAAACTCACAAGGCCATCACACAGCCCATTATACCAACATCAACTCCATCAACCAATCAAGAGGCAGCAGCGCAGCCAACTAGCCCAGCACACCAGCCCCCATCACCAGTATTTATAGAGAGACAGCTGCTCCGATCACACACTGCTTGCACTGGCACGAAGCCGAAACGTCGCCAAGATACTCTTAATCTTACACGGGAAAAGACCTGAACACACCTAGACCTATATATATATATACACACACACACACACACACACACACA